TCAGTTCCAAGAGGAGACTTCGCTCCAAAAGTTCCGCAGACGTCTCAAGGAAGAGCCTCTGATCCCGCTAGGTAGGCATACCATTGAAGCTCAGACGCCACATTTCTTCAACCAAGCTTAGCTAACTTGCTTGAACCTAGGATGTGCCGCCACTTCCTACGCACTGTACCGGGCCTACCGGTCGATGAAGGCCGGCGACTCCGTCGAGATGAATAAGATGTTCCGTGCTCGTATCTACGCCCAGTTCTTCACCCTTATCGCCGTGGTCGCCGGAGGAATGTACTATGGTAGCGAGCGGAAGCAACGGAGGGAGTTCGAGCAGATGGTGGAGGCACGCAAGAGCCAGGAAAAGCGGGACGCTTGGCTACGTGAGTTGGAGATCCGTGATAAGGAAGACAGAGGCTGGCGGGAGCGTCATGCGGCTATTGAGGCCGCGGCAAACGAGGCCGCAAATGCTAAAAAGTCATTCCCCGAGCAGGATGCTGCTCGCTCTGCTATTGAGCCCTCCGAACAGAAGTCGATTGGGGTACTAAGTGCCGTGAAGGAGTTGTTGTCGAGGCAGTAAGGTCGGCAAATGGAAGTGTTGTTGAGTTTCTTACTTGATTCTCATGTTGGTTTGGGTATCTATGATATTGTACATATATGCATTTAATTTTTGTCAGAATATCACTCTCCATCTCTTAACCCTTGATCTCATTTCTCTGGACCTTAGCCTGTATCTTAATTAGTGCTTGATCCTGGTCAGATCTCCCCCCACTAGCCGACAACCTGCTCGTCAATATATCGCCTCATCATGTCAAACTCGGACTTCCCGGTCTATGTATAGTTAGGCTGCTTGTCCATGAAAGAACAATCGGGGAACTTACCGAGATAAGATATCGTATATGTTGCTATCCGTACTCGTCAGTCTGGTGCTATACTGTAAAGGCAAGGAAGCCATACCAAATCTGTCACATTTCTATTACGCTCAAACTCCCCACGAGCATATCTGTGCAGTTCATCCTTGGTGGACGAGCTGGGTATTTCTGCGATTCTATCAGCATGGTGCATGATTGTTGGAAATAGTGTAGATGGGAACTAACTATTGAGCGCTCGCACAATCTCACGCCATAGAGAAATGACTCGTTGCCTTTGGATGAACTTCGGGTCATATCAGCGCATGAACGACATAAGTTGCGATGGTTACACACATGATCAAGGCTAACGGTTGGCTTCCTGAGCTTCGAGGGCTGGCTGCGGGATACGGAAGCCAGAAGTCTCAGAGACGGTCGCATTTGGACGGGAATTATATAAAATGCTCCACCGGGCACCGACTGGGTAGCTAAGAAGTATCAATGCGGTACAGTTTCTATAGAGATTGCTGGAAATAGTAAATGATTGCATCTATGATTGATGATCAAGTGATGGTGGCGGAGAGCAAAGCGGTGAGTTGTTCTGCCACAATGTACCGATATGAAATATTTCCGCACCGACAGTATTTCAATTACACAATTGTGCCGTCTCTGTACCTGAAGGTCTAGAGCACGGCTTCACCAATCTTGATGGGTCCGAAGCCGGAAGAGACACACGCCTTCGGTGCACTTTCCGGGTGATAGATATAGCTTATCGGGAAGGACGTACAAATGCAGCACCTTCCAATACAACATCCCTCTAGACTCCTCAAATTGACTATGATGAGAATCAAGCCAAAGATCATTGGCTGCAATGGCACCCGGGGAAAGCGGAGGCCAATCAATCCTAGTATAGCTCACGTGACTGCGTGCCTGGCTTCCCCGAACTTTTTTTCGGAGCCGCAGAAAAGATCGAGACGCTTGGGGACTCAAAGAGCGCCAACGTTTGATTGAGATTCGGTGTGCACGGAGATCATCATGAGGACTCCTACTCTTGCGCGGCTGCCATGCCGCGCTGTTTCCGGATTGACCAGATCTTCTCTCCGTCTTCAGTCCCAGAACTTCTTGACTCGGCGATGCGCTTCGACGGCTGCTCTCCGTTCACCTACTTTGGCTCCGGCTTATCAGTCTACCCTGAGCAAACACTTCCAGCAGAGGAGGAACGCTTCTGCTACTGCTGCTGCTGTGTAAGCATCTACTACTTCCTGTCTATCTTAATTGCTGCCTTTGTTCAAATAGAAGCGCTTTAATTTGACCAATTACTGATCGCTGTTTTCAAATAAACATAGGCTTGAGGCTGCCGCTGCCAACCCCGACACCCTGTCGCAAGAGGCCATTATCGAAAACCTTGACCCCGTCGAAGCAGCACGTCTGTCCCGTGTTCGGAACATTGGTATTGCTGTAAGGATTTTGTAGATAAGAGTTGCTTGGAATATTCACATCTAATGGTCATTCTAGGCACACATCGACAGTGGTAAGACCACATGTACTGAGCGTGTCCTTTTCTACACTGGACGTATCAAGGCTATTCACGAGGTCCGTGGTCGTGATGCCGTTGGTGCGAAGATGGACTCCATGGACCTGGAGCGTGAGAAGGGTATCACCATCCAGTCCGCCGCAACTTTCTGTGACTGGGTCAAGAAGGACGCCGAGGGCAAGGACCAGAAGTACCACCTCAACTTAATTGATACTCCGGGTCACATTGACTTCACCATCGAAGTCGAGAGAGCGCTGCGCGTTCTGGATGGTGCTGTCATGATTCTGTGTGCTGTCTCCGGTGTCCAATCCCAAACCATCACCGTTGACCGCCAGATGAGACGTTACAACGTTCCTAGAATTTCCTTCGTCAACAAGATGGACCGTATGGGTGCCAACCCCTTCAAGGCTGTTGACCAGATCAACAAGAAGCTTAAGATCCCCGCTGCCGCTGTTCAGGTGCCCATTGGTGCTGAGGACGAGTTCGAGGGCGTTGTCGATCTGCTTCGCATGAAGGCGATTTACAACCGTGGACCCAGTGGTGAGGAGCTTTTCGAGACCGATGAGATCCCCGAGAAGGTTAAGGCTGTGGCGGAGGAAAGAAGGCAGATGCTTATCGAGACCCTCGCCGACGTTGATGACGAAATTGCCGAAATCTTCCTCATGGAGGAAACGCCTACCGAGGACCAGATGAGACAGGCCATCCGTCGGGCAACCATCAACCTGAAGTTCACCCCTGTCTTCATGGGATCTGCACTAGCGAACAAGTCCGTGCAGCCCATGCTGGATGGTGTCATCGACTACCTTCCCAACCCCTCCGAAGTGCAGAACCTTGCTCTTGACAAGAAGCGCAACGAGGCTTCCGTGAAGCTCGTCCCCTACAACTCTCTGCCCATGGTCGGTCTTGCTTTTAAGCTAGAAGAGAGCAACTTCGGTCAGTTGACCTATATCCGTGTGTACCAAGGTACTCTCCGCAAGGGATCTTTCGTCTACAATGCACGCAACGATAAGAAGGTCAAGATCCCTCGTATTGTTCGCATGCACTCTAACGAGATGGAGGACGTTACTGAGGTCGGGGCTGGTGAGATTTGTGCTGTCTTCGGTGTCGAGTGTGCCTCCGGTGACACCTTCACTGATGGACAGCTGGGCTACACCATGTCCTCCATGTTCGTTCCCGAACCCGTCATCTCCCTGTCCATCAAGCCTAAGAACAACAAGGATGGTGCCAACTTCTCCAAGGCCATGGCACGTTTCCAGAGAGAGGACCCGACTTTCCGTGTCACCTTCGATGCGGAGAGTGAACAAACTCTTATCTCTGGTATGGGTGAACTGCACCTCGAAATTTACCTCGAGCGTATGCGCCGTGAATACCGCGTCGACTGTGAGACTGGCCCGCCTCAGGTTGCCTACCGTGAGACCCTTGGCGAGCGTGTCGAGTTCGACCACCTGCTGAAGAAGCAATCTGGTGGTCCTGGTGACTACGCCCGTGTCGTTGGTTGGATGGAGCCGACAGGCAGCCTTGGCGAGAACGTGTTCGAGGAACAGATTGTTGGTGGAAGTATCTCGGAGAAGTTCCTCTTCGCTTGTGAGAAGGGATTCCACCTCTCTTGTGACAAGGGTCCTCTGATTGGACACAAGGTCCTTGGTACCAAGATGGTCATCAACGATGGTGCTACCCACATGACTGATTCGTCTGAAATGGCCTTCAAGAACGCCACCCAGCAGGCTTTCCGTAAGGCTTTCAAGGAGAGTAACCCTGCTGTCCTCGAGCCCATCATGAAGACTGTCGTGACGGCCCCATCTGAGTTCCAGGGTGACGTTATCGCTCTCTTGAACAAGCGTAATGCTACTATTAACGACTCTGAGGTCGGTGTTGATGAGTTCACCGTGTATGCGGACTGCAGTCTGAACGGCATGTTCGGTATCAGTTCCCACCTGCGTGCGGCTACCCAGGGTAAGGGTGAATACACCATGGAGTTCAGCCACTACGAGAGGGCGCCTCCCCACCTCCAGTAAGTTACCGTATCCCCGCATAAATCATTAAACCGATACTAATAAGAATCCACTTATAGGAAGGACCTCATCGCCAAGTACCAGAAGGCCCAGGCCGACAGACACAAGAAATAAACCTGTCGCAACCCTGTGGCTTGATGCTTGGAACAGCTTTGCGGAGGTAGACCCACCTCCTGAAGCTACCCTACACCAGTGATGCAGTTCAAAAGTATACCCATTACGTCTCCTTCCGGGTTCTTGAACCTGCAATCCCCCACCCGCGCTCTATCCTCCCTCCTACCTCTTCCCTTCTCGGCGTGTATTCCCTACGAAGACGATGTTCTCATTATGTTTAGATAATTTGGCGCCATGTATTATTTATAAAGCAATCTAGACGCGCCCTGTGGGCGTCGGAAAATTCTCAGTCAGTGCCATGGGGCCCGGGTTGGTAGGGTACCCGGCCGTCCATCCCCGAGACAGCTCATCTCGGTTTCAGACTGTACATATTTGACCTGAAGGTCGTTATATCTCCTCTCATATATTCAAATTCTAAGCATATATTGCGCTATAAAGCAATCTCTGGATGGTGAAAAGGACGTAGTTCAACATAGTTCAAGTTCGGATAATCCATTAGTACTACCACTGCCAACAAGCACCAATATACCTACCTCATACAAAACACGAGACCCACACCCACATGCAAACGACTCACAGTACCTCTATAGAACGCAGCCACAAGCTCTAGAACAACTGACAGTGAATACAGCCTCTTCAGTCGCGTCAACGCGTCCCTAAGCTCTTTCATGATTGGCCTGCCTTATAAGTGGATTTTCGCGATTCCTTTTACATCTCGCTCAGTTCAAAGATTCTATTGGTTAACAGAATTTGAGACTGCAAGCCCTGTGGAAGCCCCAGTCTGCATTTAGCCTGTATATCTAATAATAGTCTATGTGGGGTTGATGGCGAGATGTGGTGGCATGAGATTCACTTCTCAAAAGCCCTCATCACCGAAAGAGCGGCGACGGAGAAGGTTGCGACGCGGTTGTGGCCTTGTCATTCATTGTTAATTTTTATGCCAAGTATTATGTGTTGGGTTGGGTTCTATATCGACGTACCGCCATGGCTAACGCGCTCCCATCTGACGCGCTTAACAACTGCGTTGTCCTTCGTCGACTGGTTTTCCCAGATCTGCACTTCGTTCGGTCCGTTAGAGTCCTTCCGTTCGTGAACTATCCTGCCAGGGCCACCGGGGATGTCCTCGCCCGTGGCGGCGATCCAGACCCGCCGGCCCTCCTGCCAGGGGATCTCGACGTCGTTTGCTGCATGGATGATGAAGAGGTCGAGACCCTTGTTCGCGTAAGCGGGGTTAGGGTCGTCTTTCGTAATGTTGGTGTTTACCCCCGACAGACGTGCGACTCTAGCGGCGGTGTCCCAGCGATCGACGATGTGGCTCTTTGCCCAGTTGTGTGCCCGAGGGTAGTTGGTTAGCAAGGAGAGCATTGGAGGTGTGATTCCCTTTAGACTGTAGGAATCGATCAGACTTGGCACGTTGCTGAAGGATGCTAGCAGGATAACGCCGGCGAAGGGTTCCGGGTCCTTGATTGCTGGCTGGATGGCAGTGGGGTCTGAGGAGCCGAATGCAAAGCGCTCTGCCACGGCTGCGCTTACGGCTGTTCCTAGGCTCTGGCCCATGATTACGATGCGTGACGGGGAGATGTTCAGTGGGCCGGAGGTGAGGTAGTTTAGCAGGGATACACCGTCAGTAATTAGGCCCTCTTCTGTGGGAGTGCCGCTTGAGAGGCCGAACCCGCGGTAGTCGATGGCAAAGACATGGACGGGGTTTTGGGGTGTTGAGAGTCCCAGGACTTGTCGATAGATGTCGGGTCGCTGGGCGGATGCGAGGTGGGCGGCGTTGCCGTGGACTGGTGTAGAATATCAGCTGCTGTACTTTGAGTGCAACGGTGCTTACTTACAGCTGACTACTACCCTGGCATTCGGGTCATTTTTGAGGAGCTTGAATGCAGTGGTTTGGGTGTAGTCGTCTGCTGGTCCGTCGGGTTCGTTTGCATTTAGTTCCTCTTCATGCTCGTGGCACAGCTGCAGGGGCAGGAGATGCCATCCATAGAGTGTCTCGTTATCAGGAGTCACGATGCTAAATGGCTGGACCTGCGTTTCTTTGGATGCAGTTAATGAGCTTGTCCTTTGAGTATGATCTGGCCGGTAGACTGAAACAGTTTAACATACTGAGAAAGCCGAATGATTCGACCAGGTTGACGTCCTGCCACGCAGTGGGATTGATTTTATTGACGTAGAGGGCACTGATACAAGTAGGCAACAGGTTAACCAGTGTGATCGTCTCGAATAGTGATTCGAGCATACAACGAAACAACGTACAATCTTTGGACTACGGGATACGTCATGGCACAGACGAATATGGCATAGAAGATTCCACCGGCTGCCAGTGCCCAGTAGGCCTTCTTAAAGATGGGTTGAAGCTCAACCATCGCTGTTACTAGCCTACATTCAACAGTACACAGTTTAGCCGTTATGAAGGTAGAAATAAAGCGAACTGCAAGTCGAGATGTCTCGGGAGCCCTTACTTTGAACCCGCCGTGTGCTCCGTATACCAATGGTGATAAGCAAACCTGAAGGTGCGACCACTCAACAGGATATAATCAAGACAGCAGATATATTCTAGAATATTCACACCTGAATGCCACCAATGCGACCTGGCTAGATGCAGGAACGGTGAATAAGCAAAGGATGCGGAGGATTAAACCGGGGATGCTGAGGCTCGGCGGTGGAACTGCCCGATCCAGCTTCTGCCTCCAACTTCACTTTCTCCGCCGCCTTTTTTCCTCCTCCTCCGCAACTCTCATCCCTTCCCATCATACCAGTCAATCCCGGAGGCTGCGAGATGTCCGCTGCTTCAATCAGCTGGCTTCCTGATTGGCGTGTAACTGCTCGTCAATAATTCTCTACATCTCAGCATGGCCGAAAAACGCAAACTCCCCGCCCGCGAACGTCGCGAACCCGCGGCGAAGCGACGAGCCTCCGAAGCTCCGTCTCGACCATCCCCTCAACCTCAACAGTCAAAGAAGAAGGGGTCTACACCGGTCGTCGCCCCTTCTCCCCCTCCTCCGCCACCACCGGAACCTACCGAACCCCCTTTGCCTACAAAGATAAAGGATGGAGAGCCTCTTCCGACTACGGCCGCGCCGCAACCAACTACTCTTACAGATAAAGAGTACCAGTCGTATGCAGAAAGGTATGTGTGCCCTCCTAACTACACGCGCAGAAGCGCATATTGTGTATGTCAAGGCTTTCGGTCGCTGACCAGTAACAGTGCGATTCTGTTAGCTTCCCTGGAACGATCGAAGAAGAAATGGCTAAGCGACGGCATTTTGGAGAGATACTGGACCAAGCCCAAGAAGACCAAGAGGGAGCAGATTGAAGGGAAGAATCCGCCTAAGGAGACCATGTCAAAGGTTGGAGCTTGCAACATCGTTGTCGGACCTCATCTGTTCGACGCGATGCTGTACACTGTCAAAGATCCCAACGCGCCGCCGCCGATCCAATACACCACCCCTCAGCGCCCGATGGTTCATTATGGACATCCAAACAACTTTCAACAATACCACCCCTATCCTCACTCCCCTGCTCCGCCCCAACATGCACGGCAACATCCATCTCAAGGTTCTCCGGCGACTCCTGGAACACCTCAGCCTGACTACACTCCTGGAAACCACCCACCCCCTTCACATCCTGCTCGGACCCCAAGTCAGCCACCCCACCGTCCCCCTGGCCCTCAATCTGCGCAAAGACCATCGCCTTCTCAGCACCCTCCGACTGCCCAACCGGCGAAGCCTAGCCCAGATCCCGTCATTCAGATGCTTGCAACACGAGCTGCGTCCGATCCTGAGCTCAAAGCGTTGATGCGCGTCGTGGCCTCGAGCAAAGCATCTCAAGAGCAACTCCGCGCTTTCCAGGCTCATATTGACGAACTGAACGCCATAATTCGCGCAAGGGAACAGCAGCAACAACGGCTACAGCAGCAGCAGCGCCAGGTTCAGCCTTCCACTCCTTCTCATCCTTCCCCGCGTCCGTCACAAACTCCTATACAACACCCCCAGCCCCAGCAAACGCCGCAACCTCCGCAACCTCCGCAACAACCCCCCTCTGCACAAAAGCCTCCCATGCAGCCAGTTCAGCAACCCCCCCAGCAGAAACCCCAGCAAGCCCCTCAGCAAACCCCCCAAGGGCAGTCGCAACCACAGCCCACGCCGCGTGTCGAGGTGCAAGTCCCCAAACCATCTCCGTCTGCCGCCCCTGCCCACCCTCCTCCGAACTCGAACGTCCCACAGCCGCCACAAACGCCTACTCCACAGGCACCCAAGCCAGCCCCTCAGGTTGTAATCAAGCAAGAACCTGGCGTGGCGGCGCCAGGTCAGCCCCCGTCTCAGCCCGTTTCGAGTCCTAGTGTGGCGCCAGCTCCAACTCCTACCCCGAATCCGCAAAAGCAGGCAAGCCCTGCTGTACGACCCATGCCGCCTCCCCAGCAGCAACCAACGCCGCGGCCAGGACCTCCACACCCATCCTATCAACAGCCTCCGTATCAGAGCCATCCACCTGCCATACAATCTCGGCCTCCGCAGTATGGGTCGCCAGCGCCATATTATCGCCCAGCTCCGCCACCGCCCCCTCCGAGACAGAACTACAAGTCGGTGGTCTTTGAATTTACGTCACCGCTGACCCCCTATGGAAGCAGCACATCCGGACATGCAGGCTCTGGTGATCGATACCTATTTCCTGAGTACACAATTCTGGAATGGCTCCCTGGAGGAAATACTGTTCTTGCCTCATTCCTACTCGTGAGGAAGGTTGACCCAAACGCAACGTTTCCCTTAGAATCAGCTACTGAGATGGCCAACCCCCGGGCTAAAGGCAAGGCATCCAAGTCCAAGTCGAAGAAAGCAGACAAGAACAAGGAGAAAGCGAGCGAGGCGGACAAGGATAAGGGGAAAGCAGACGACAAAGAAAAAGACAAGCCGCAGGAGAAATCAAATGAAAAACCTGATGGTGATAAGGCACCAGCCAGCAGCACCCAAGCTGACCAGAAGGCTGAAGCATCCGAAACTCCTAATAAACCCTCCACAGACAAGGATGACTCTAAAGACAAAAAGGTCGATAGCAAGGACAAGGACAAGGAAAAGGAGAACAAGGAGAAAGAGAAGGACAAAGACTCCAATCTGAAGGAATACTACCAACCCGTGACATTCCGCATCTTCACCAACAACCCCAAAGTCCTCGAGCCTCTAGGCCGTGTCGTGAAGCCTCCTGATGAAGTCCGCAAATACATGAACGAGATCATGGACCGAGCGGAACGCGCTCCCGAGGGGTTCCTGGCATACCGTCTGCCCCGAGAAGAGCCCGATGATAACAAGCCGGTCCCTGAGACAGAAGATAGCGGCAAGAAAACCGGAACTCCGGTGCCAGCTGCGCGTGGGAGGTTGCAGTCTCGGAGTAAGACGGTGGACGAGGAATCGGATGTGGAGAATATCGAGGGGGTTGTAGAGGAGGAAGAGGAAGAGGAACTCAAGGATTTCTATGGTCCGCCTACGGGACTTCCGCCTATGGGGGCGTGATTATTGATAGACTGGTTTCACAGTATATAGGTTTGAGCACCTAGACTATGTATGAGTAATGCATTCCGTGGATGTTTGATTATCGTGATAATTCCTTCCCTTAGCGCTGGTATCTTTCCCACCCATCTACCAAAATACCGTGCTTACCCCATCTATGACTCCTACTGCGCTATGCAATTAGACCTATAAGTTGACTCACTTCCAGACAAGACTAATCTAAACGATAAGGAAACATCTACTCTCTAAGAAACAGGCCGATCCCTTATGACTCAACCAATCTAAAATACACTAAACTGCAGGGATGTTTGTGCGTCAGCTTACTCCCAGACTAACTCTCAGATAAGATGTCACCATCCGCCAGCTCCCATTAGCCACAACAAGAACTATAATAGTCCCAAACCCCATCATCCCACACCCATCCAGCAAAACAGCAACAGAAATCCAAAATGACCACCGACCTCTCCACCACCGCCGCCTCCATCGCGCGCCTCTCCCTCCACGACCCCAACAACTTCCACATCCAACACTCCCAAACCCTCCACCGACTAACTCTCCTCCAGCACTGGGCCATCCCCACAGGCTCCAAACTCCTCGAGTTAGGATGCGGCCAAGGCGACTGCACGACCGTCCTCGCCTCCGCCGTAGGCCAGCAAGGCAGCGTAGTAGCAGTTGATCCAGCAGATCTTGATTACGGTTGAGCCCATTCCCCCTCCTCCTTCTACCCTACTAACATCACCCAGGATCCCCCTACACCCTCTCCCAAGCCCAATCCCACATCACCCAATCCCCACTAGGAAACCGCATAACCTGGATCCAACAATCCCCACAAGATTACCTCTCTTCCCTACCCCCGACATTCGACGCCACGATCCTCGCCCATAGTCTCTGGTACTTCTCCTCTCCCGCAGTTATCCTGTCTACGTTCCGTGCCGTTCGGCAGCACAGTAAACGGCTCTTGCTAGCGGAGTGGGGGCTAGTAGCCACGCACCCGTCCGCGCAACCCCATGTGCTCGCCGCGCTGGCGCAGGCGGCGCTGGAGTGTCGGAAACCTGGGGAGAGTAGTGACTCGAATGTGCGGACGGTGTTGGGGCCGAAGAGGATTAGGGAGTTGGCGGTGGAGGCGGGGTGGGAGGTTGAGAGGGAGGAGTATGTACAGACTGGGGAGGGGTTGTTGGATGGGAGGTGGGAGGTTGCGGCTGTTCTTGATGGGGGGTTTGAGGAGGAGGTGAGGAGGGTTGTGAGGGATGAGAGGGAGAGGGCGGTGGTGTTGGCGGCGAGGGATGCGTGTGAGATGAGTGTTGGGGGTGTGGAGCGGGTGAGGAGTATGGATGTTTGGGTTGCTAGTTTTGTTTGATGGTGGATGGATGGATCTTTGATTGATTGGTTAGAAGGGTGATGAAAGATGATCAACTTAATTGCGAACTAGTACTGTTATTACTATCTTATCAGGTTCAGGTTTTGTGTTTTTCAAAGGTATATGGTTAGACACTCCCTCCTGCACGTCGTCCTGCACCGTCCCCGATTAACCCTGCGGTTTCCAGTAACCATCTGGCGCTTTCTTCTGCGGCACTGCCTCCTGTCTTCAGATTCACGTTGCGCCGCCGTTCAGCTTCCCGAGCTTCAAAGTCCCATTTCGCCTGCTGTAACTCAACGGCGCTTTTTCCGCCCTCTGCGGACGTGGTTGTGGGGTCAGGCACCAGACCCCAGACTTCTAGGCTGTAGATCTCGATGGTGGTTTTGACGGTGGTGTCTGGGGTAGACCCTGGGGGTGGGGGCAGGAATACGCCGTTGCGGACAACGGGAGAGACGTAGAATTGTGCAGTCTCGAGGCTGACGTCGATGGTTAAGCTGCCTGCCCCGTGCGGAGTGGGGGGCTTCTTATTGCTGCGCGACGAAGGGGGGATTTGGCAGCCTATTGATATACCGGAGCTGGTGGAGAAGTAGGCGGCTAGAGTATTTGATTGTTGTTGGATGGATGAGGAGGGATTCCCTTGCAGGAGCATGTGTTTTGGCGAGAGCTGGAAAAGACATGGGAGAACGGAGTTGGAGAATTTGGAGCTGGTCTGAGTGGAGGTTGGTGATTTCCATGGCTGTGGTAGGTAGGCGCCAATGGT